TAGAAGCCCGTTTTACAGATGAGCAGACTATCCGAAGGCTCCAGAGGGTCAGTAGCTTGCCCCGTCATGCAAGCAGCTTGAGTGAATGTGAAAATCAGGGCTCACAGCCAGCATCACTCCTTGGCACAAAGCAATCCCCATCTGCACACTCCCTTCCACCCCCCATTTCTCTAATAAGCGTGCCTGTTGGGCTGGCCCTGAGCCCCCAAGCCCTTAATGGAGACAGCTGGACTCCCTGTTCCCATCTTGCCTCTCCCTGACTCCTCCCTTGCAATTCCCTCTAACCCCTGACTTGAGGCTGACACACTGGCCACGGGCTGTGGCTTAGTGCTCAAATTTCGCAAGTCCCTGAGAAAAAGAAATCTGGAACTCAGACCTCACCAGATCCACTGGCCTCTGGTGGAAGCCTCGTTTGTCATAAGGAGGAAGTGAAGTGATTGGAGCCTGGCTGAGTGTGCACAGATACCATCTTCGTCCCATCTCCCTTGGGCTGGTAGTAGCAGGAGATGGGACCCTGGCTGAGCCTTCTGGGCACTGCAGTCAGGTGGCCTGTTGACCTACTGTATCTGGTCCCTGAGCCTTAGTCTTAGTGTCACAACACTGGTAGGAAGGAGGCCTCTCCGGTAGATGTTGAATGGACACCACCAGTACAGGGACCTGTGGACAGAGGGCAGTACTGGGGCCAGGCCATTACAGGCTGCTTTTCTCCTCTTCACAGGGCCAGTACTTCAACCCTTGGAAAGACATTTAAAGGGATAAGGGCAAATTTGCCCAGCTCCGGACTCCAGCAAGAAGAGAAGTGTAGGAGGTAAAGAATGGAGGCTGGAGGCGGCCCAGCCCAGTGAAGCCAGATTAATGCCACTGGGGTCCTTGTCTCCCTGACTGTCCCCACCCTTGAACTCCTGCTCAGCTATCTCTTCTCTCCTGGGCTCTTGTCTCTACCGTTCTGGCTTCCTGGGCCTCCTTCTTGGCCACTGTCCACCCTCCCCATTGCCCTGCACCTTGTTCTCTCTGTCCATCATTAAAATGGGGTTCCTTTGTGCACATTAAAATTTTATTTTCAGCATCAGTGGTTTCCTTTCTTAAATCCCTATGCCTAGGGCTCATGCCCAGCACCTAGCCTGATGTCTCGCCTCTGCTGGTCTCACCTCTGACAATCATGTGACTGACTGGGGACTAGGACCCACTTCCTGCACTTGAGGACTCGGTATATCTAGGAGCAGTCACCCCTGTAACTGGAGTTGCTAGAGCCTGGGCGCTCTTGGATGAAGAACATTTGTCTGGATCCTGTCTGGGACTATCCTGTCCCTTCTAGGGGCGCTATACAGAGAGGATGGTGGATGAGGGCTGTAATTATGCTTCAATTTATTGTTGATCTCTGAAATCAACTCCTTAGAATTAGGAGTGAAGTAGGGTCCAAAAGACAGTTCTGGATCCCGCTACTCCTTTCTCTGGCCTTGCCTCCAGGTCAGTTTCATTGGGTCCTGATCTCTAATTGTGTAACTGGATGTCTTTGATCTGTACCCCTGGAGTAGTGAGTGGGCCCTTTTGCACCTCCAGGAGCAGCCCCCTAGCCCTGTTTACTTTCTTGTCTGTCCACTCTTCTGACAAAACCCATGCTCATCCCTGGCCCCTTCTGACACTTTCAGGGTTGGAGTGAACTTTGCAACAGATATAAGAGGGAGCCAGGAGGTGGCAGAGGATGACTCCTGCCAACCTGACTTGTGCCCACGTCTCAGGTGGTGTTGCCCCTTGGAGTTCCCATGGCTGTTGCATACAGTTTTCTCTGTGTGCTCCAGGGACTTGACTAGAAGATAGACACACACGAAAGAGCATACCTAAAGTCAACCCCATACCTTCCTAGGCCTGTTTCAGACACAGGTACCTCCTTCTCTGGGTCCCCAGAAGGACAGAGCTAGAGGCATCTATTATTTAGTTGGGCTCTGCACAGTACTGGGTACCACAGAGGACGTCTTTTCTGTCTCAAAGCCTTTGCCAAATGAGAAGTGGAAGAAACCCTTCCAGAGCCAGGTGACTTGGACGTCCAGTGATTTGACTGATAGTTCTGGCTTCTCTTCCTGGCTGCATCACATGCCCCTTTGGCATACCCTCACACCCCAGCAGCAGCAAGCAGGTCAGCCTCAGGTCTCTGACAGGAGGGCAGGGACTCTGGAGAGGCGGCCCTCTGCACCCTGCCTCTGGGCACCCATTTGACACTGTACATCCTCAGTTAATCCTCAGTAACTGGGTTTGCTCTGAAAACCTGGAAATCACCTTGAAATTTCCCTCTTTTGTTCTCATTGCCAAGGGGGGGGGGCGGGGGGACTGTAGGAAGGCCTGAGAGGCTAAACTGGGGAGTTTCCAGTTCTCAAAGCTGCCCTTACCTGGCTTTAAGAAAAGGGATCAAGCTGTCCATCAACGTAGACATCTGGAATCCTCCCTGGCTCCTTACTCCCCAAACCTACTCATCCCTGAGAGAAATAGATACAGGGGAGAAGAGGTGTTGGTGACAACCCAGTCCCTTCCAGAAGCCTGACTGTAACCTGAGCAGAGGTACGCGATGTGAGGTCACTCAGGGGTGGACAGGATCCCCTGGGTCATGTAATTGTCCTGCTTGGAGACTGACTGGGAGCTGACCAGGCCTAAAACTGGGTTGGAATCAATTTGAAAAGGAGCCTCATCAAGGCCAATGGAATGAAGCTGGAAGTTCCACCGTTTGCCCTCCAGGTTTTTGACCCTAAGCCCCTGGGGAAAGGCAGGGATATCCTGATAGAAGCCGCTGAGTGGAAAAGTAGTATCCCGGGCTGTGATGACGGATGTTTTCCTGCTTCCTTTTGGTGTTGCTGGAAGGGAGGGGCTGGGAAGGGAAAAGCTTCCCAGGTGGACAGCTTTGATAACTCTCCTTTCGGAGGAAGTAGACCGAGGAAGTCCTTTTCCTATGTCCCAGTTCCCTGGGTCGCAGTAGTCAGAGAGTGCCTTGAAAGATGCCAACCCTAGTCTTCTCCCTCTCCCACTGGTGGGGAGACTGCTCACTACCTTGGAAATGGTCCAGGTCCAAGGAGGCCTTGACTAGAGACCCCAGTGCACACTCTAGGCCTTCGTCTCGCCACTTAGCTTGCTTGGGAAGGGTAGTTGGTAAGAAGCAGAGTACTATGGTTTATGACCAATATTGGGGTTCTAGAAAGGTTGTCTTGAACTCAGTGGGTCCTGTTGAGGTGCGTTTAACATGTCTTATGTTTAACATGTCTTCTCAAGCACTTAAGCTATAGTAAAGGGGGCACCGGAAAGGGGGGTCTGATCTGTCAGGCTTGAATAAGGATTAGGGTGTGATGCCTTCCATAAACTATGCTAGGTAGTTCTAGGGAGATTACACAGATATATATATACTTATTCCTTTTTTTTTTTTTTTTTTTTTTAGTATTTTTTTTTCTTGATGGAAGATCCAGGATCCTTATTTTCTGCCAGCTATCCTTTTATTAAAAAGCATGAATCACGAACAAGTAGTCATGCGAGGAAACTTTATCTTTTGCCCACCCACCTGTGGAGAAGACCGGAGGCAGCAAACAGAGTGGGGCACGGAATGTGCAGAGGCAGAGCATGGGGGTGGGGGTGGGGGGTGGGGGGGTGGGGGGTGGGAGGGAGAACCTGGTGGGGAGGGGCTTACAGGCTCTGTTACTGGAGCAGTCTTATTTCCATCTCCGTCCCTGGCTTAGAAGACCCTGTCGCCTGCCATGAAGGTACAGAATACTGTACCTGCCGGTGAAACCAAAACCTTCTGAAACTTTCCACTGGGCCACCTTGGAGGTAGACCCAGGGAGCTCAGATCACTACAGAGTAGTCCTCATTCCTGGGGGCAGGAGAAAGAAAAACAACAGGAAACGGAGCATCAGCTTGGTGCATGGTGACCGAAAGGTAGAAATGGGAATCACCACACTCAAATTATTTATTTATTTATTTAGACAGTCTCACTAGGGTGCCCAGGATGGACATGAACTCAAGGGCTCACAGTTTTCCTACCTCAGCCTTCCCAAGCAGCTGGGGCCGTAGACTCCTGCCATCACTCCAAGATCTCATTCAAAATTTTGACCTTGCTGTTTATGTGAATTTGAGCCATTTTTGCTAATCTTTCTGATAAAATGAGAGAAACAGTAGCTGGCTTGGACGTCCGGCTTCAGCCTTCCAGGACTGAGGATACTCAGCTTTTAAAGTGTCCTGAGTGTGATGTGAGGAAATATGACAGCAGGTCATAAAAGCCAGTGTACAGAACAAACGCCTGGACGCCTGTATAGCAGCTTACCCTTATTAAGAGGATGGTCCTGCATGGCTCCCTCACTGGCCAGCTCCAACAGGGCACTTTCCCTGCCCACCCCTGGTAGTACCTGGCTTGCTTCCTATCTCCAGCATCTCCAAGGCGGCAGCTTTGTTTCCTGATGGAAAAGAGCTGGGAAATGGGGCTCTGGCCAGTGAGGGAGAAGGGGCCCTTCTGTGTCCTAGCAAAGACCCAATTGTTACGGAAACCAAACTGGGCTGGCTTTCTCAATTATCCCCACTGCTCTTCTGGTCTCCACTTTTCAGATGCCAAGTTTTAACCAAGAACAAAAGCTGCTGTCCGACTGATTTATACTCCAGATCTGCTGATGGGGTCTAAAGTGTTTCTCCTCTCTAGGACTGCCCCTGGGGCTTAAAGGTACCACAGAAATCTCCAGGCCGCAACATCCCTTCATCCCTGTCCTTTGACTCTGGCTAATGGTGGTCTCCAGGTACCCGTGGAGCAGCTTCCCGAGGTTCTTTTATTCCACCTGCCTAGCTTGAGGGCCAGCTGGCTGGAAGGAGGACTTGCCATCCAGCAGGGCCTGGGAGGCCAAACCTACAAGTTATCTAGGAGCGGCTTGGGCGGAGGCTGGCAGTTCTGAAGGTGGTAGTGGTTCTCGGCAGCGTGGCTCCCTTCAGCCCCCTTCATCTGAACAGTAGGGCTCAGGCCACTTGTTAATCAACCTTCCAAGTGGCACCAGGAGTCATTTCCTGGTGGTAGGCTCTACTGGAGCCTGGAAACGAGGAGCTGCCTGGAGACTTGGGGGTCTTCTCTGCCTGTGAGCCGCTCCTTCCAGCCCAAGGGTTAGGGCCAGAAAGAAGGATGACTTTGGAGGCAAAAGACTGACCACTGTGGTTAGCTCCTGAGAGAACCTCCGGTTTCCTCCGTTGCTCCCCTCCCTTCGGATACTCATCCCAAAATGGCTCGCCAGCTTTCATTCCTGTAACTGGAACGTGGGGGAACCCCTCAGCCCTTCCTGAGCCCAGCCCGCTGCAAGGCTTGAAGGCACACTTCGGGGAGACCAGGTGAGTGCGGTTCCCGATGGCAACGCCTGGAGTCCCTCCCCCGAACCTCTCCCTTCTGGCGCCATGGCGTAGACCTTGACTCCCGGGCCGCCGGAGTCGCCAGGGTCCCAAAGCCTCAGGGCTGGGCAAGCAAGGCAGCGAGTCACAGCCCCCTCCTAGGCGGGCCTTCGTGTCCCGCCCCCGGCCACCACTCGACACCCTCCTCGCCTGACGTCAGGGGGTTGGGGGCGGAGAGCAGCGGCGGCAGCGGAGAAAGGACCGGCGCCCGGCGCGGTGGAGCACGGACCCCGAGCTCAGGGGCGCCGAGAGCGGTGCTGGGACCGCCGGGGCGGTGGCGCGGGACAGCCTAGGCGTGCTGGCGGGCGCACGCGGGCCAGAGCGGCGTGGGGATAGGGGAGGACCGCGGCCGGAGCCCGAACGCGAGGGCGGCGCCCAGGGATTCGAGCTGCACCGAAAAGGTGAGTGAGGCCGGAGCCCTGGGGCCCCGGAGCTGCCGCTTTGTCCCCTTGGCTCGGGGCTGGCGCGCACGCGAGAGGGCAGCGTCTGGGGGTGCAGGGCGGGGCGGCAGCGCAGACAGCTGTCCGATCCGGGTCCCTCTCGAGCCCTCCGCGGGCTGCCCAGCAGACGATCAGGAGCAAGGCGAGCCGTGTCTGCAGCTCCAGTGGCCGGAGCGGCGGGCGCCTTAGGGTGCGGAGCTAGGGGCAGTGGGAGACCCTCGGGCTGTCCGGCGCGCGGTCCGGATTTTTGCCAGGTTCGCGAACTGCTACGGTTCCCCCCACCGACGGAAAGTTTGGGGCGGGCTTGGACCGCGGCCGATGTTGTGGGATCAGATTTCCCTAGCGCGGCCCCCCGCCCTCCCGTTCTGTTGGGGAGGCAGGCTGACACTGAGAAGCAGCCCTCTCATCGGAGCTCGGCCCCGCCGGGTCTCGCGCTGAAGCGCCGCGATCCACGATCGGCTGCTCCGGGTGTGCAAGTGTGGTGCACAATTTCTGGTCCTGCACCCCTCCATCCACCTGGCTGTCCGCGTCCCTTGCTTTGGAAAGAGCTGGGGGTTGGGTCGTCGTACGCGGGCGGATTCTCGGAGCACGCCACCGAGTTCTGACCCCAGCGTAGGGTAATTGGGTAGAGGGGAAGCTGAGGGTGTGTCTGGGGGACTGCCCGGGGGAAGGCAGCTCCCCCCCCCCCCCCCCCGCGCACGCCTTCCCGCGCAGGGGTTCTGGGCCGACAGGGGGCGTCCGCAAGCCGGGTTTTGCCACGCTCCCAGCGCCGCTTTGTTTGCATTCAAATCCCCGGAGCTGGGGGAGGGGAGAGCCCACAGTAGAGAGACCTGGACCGGGTCTTGGCTTGGAACCTTTGTTTTGGGGTGAAATCCCCAGGTTCTGCATCTCTGTTCCCGGCCCCGAGTGTCTGGATTAGTGGAAATCGGTCCCGTTGGCCTAATGCCTAGGCCAGGGTCCCCGGGGTGCAATCCCCCAGTTAAGAACGTTCGTCAGAGCCGGGGGGGGGTGGTGGGGAAACGCAGCCCTCGAGGGCCATTCGTGGGCATCCCCTATGCTCCAGGAGAAACCCTCTTTGGCCTCCCAAATCCATTTCACTTCCTCCTACGACCCCTCCCCCGCCGCGGTGAGGAGCTCCCCATACGCCCGGAGCCGACTCGTTTCCCCGGCCGCCTCTCTGACGGAGGGTCAGTGTCTTGTAGAAGGCTGTTGGAAGAACAGGACTGGCCCTGGTCATTTCCACGCCCATCCCACCCACTTCCTGCCTCCCTCTTGGGCAACAAAGGGGCCTCGGGAAGCTGGGCCCGTTTGGTTCCCGACTCCTACTCCAGCCCTGCTGATGTGGAACCGGGTTTGGGCTCTGCCCGGCTATTGTCTGCGCTGGGGGAGGGGACAGGCTGGGGCCGGGAACTCTGCACGCCGCCTGCTGCACCAAGTCCCCCACTGGGGGTCTTTGCCTAACTGCCTGCCTGCCTCTGCCGAGTAAGGGGTACACCTCCCCGAATTAGGTCTTGGGGCTGACCGGAGTCCAGGTAGCAGGTCCTGTTTCTTAAGATTATTCTAAAACCTTTTAGACCTGAAGGAGGAAAGGAGGGAAGTCCCTTTTTTTTTTTTTTTTTTTCTACAAACTCCCTGTTGAAGAGAGGGAGTAGGGATGGCCTGGAGGCCATGGAAGGCTTTTTGATGACTGCCCACGCCTAGCTCTTGCTGACTCAGCTCCTCTCTTTGCTCCTCTGGGAGACCCCCTCCCCCCCAGGGCCCCTGGGGTCAGAGGCCAGTTGCAGGAGCTAGGTCTGCTCCAAGAAAGGGAGCAGGGGAAGATCCAGGAGCTCCAGGGGGGAGTTGTGTCCAAGTGTGCGCCCTGTGCTGCCTGTCTCTTGGTGCGGGTTCCCTTCCGGTCTGTGACGCTGACCCGTTTCTTTTCCTTCAGCAGGGCTGCTGGACTGAAGTTTAGAGCCTGGGCGGTTGCCATGGCCCCACACTGGGCTGTCTGGCTGCTGGCAGCAGGGCTGTGGGGCCTGGGCATTGGGGCTGAGGTGTGGTGGAACCTTGTGCCCCGGAAGACAGTATCTTCTGGGGGTGAGTGCCTGAAGCGTGGGAGGCAGGGCCAGAGGGAGGCAGGAATGGACCGCTGGGGGGAAGAAGGGGATGCTTGCTTGAAGGAAGGAGCAGCTGCAGAGGAGTTACCCCCCAAGCGTGTATCTTTATACTGATATGTGTGGTTGTGGCTTTCTAAGAAATGTGTGTGGCCCCAGGGACCCAGAACTGGTAGTGCAGGTCGGGACCTGGGATTTGCCCCCATCTGACACGGCCATAACTTAGAGATATCTTACCTCCACCACCCCCAACCCAGACCTGGCTGTCCTTGTGTGCAAGGGAGGTAGTTTCTGAGTCACCCACCCTGTTCCTCACTTGAATTGTCACCTGTGCTTGGAAGCCTAGAGAGAGAAACCTGAACCCCAGGGCAAGTGTAAGCCTAACCCCATCTCCAGTCTTTCTAGCTGCCTGTCCCTAGAAGCCCCTTAATTCACCTAATGGCCCTCTCCTGCTGCCCCAACACTGGAGCCTTCTGGTGGTTCTAGGTGGCCGTATGTAAGCAAGCGCTTGTGCTCAATGGGGGAGGAGGCAGAGCAGACAGCGCTCCTTTGCACACACACCTGTATGATGTCAGGTGTTTGTATCATCTATGGGCTCTTGGGACATGGGATGAGCTCACCTCCCACAGGCCGCACTCAGCTGCTAATGAAGCCCCTCCCATGCCGACCCAGCTCTGGCTGGTCATTGCCTCCAAAGCCTGAGGCTGGCTTAAGTGCAGACCCTGTGGACAGGTGGGCAGGAATATGGGCCTCTGACAGATGACATGACTACAGTATGACCATGTCCTACATGTGCTGGACGACAGCATGGCTTCTCAGGACTCAACACCGTCTCTGATCTCTGAGCCTCTGGTTCCTTCCCCACATACCACCTTGACAGCCCCATACCCATCTGTGCTTGCCTCTCTGGCAGCCTGGATTGGCTCCTGCTGGAGTGAATGGCTCCTTAGACAAGGAATGCTCACAACTGTTCTGTGCCGCCTGCCCCTCCTCTGGATCTGCCGTCAGGGTCTGGCTGGACCCTGAGGTGGTCACAAGTAGCTGAGCAATGGAGGAAATGGCAGCTCAGAGGGCGGGGTGGGGGAAGTGCCCGGCTCTGCGCCTGAGGTACCGCTGACCCTGAATGAGAGCCATCAGTCAGATGGCTTCCTCTGGCCGGAAGCTTTGGCTGAGATATCCTTCCTTCCACTTTACCGGCCCAGATTGCCTCCTCCCAGGCTAAAGAGGGGCTTCGGAAGCCTGGGTAGGGTGGAGCTGTTGAGCCAAAGTCTATTCAGAAAAAAGTCTTTTATGGCCAGTAGGGGTTTGGCTGTCGTGTGTGTGTGTGTGTGTGTGTGTGTGTGTGTGTGTGTGTGTGTGTGTGGTGTTAGCTTTTGTGGAGAACAGTGATGATGAGGCCCAGGGGATCCTTGGACAAAGGAAGATGGATGGAGGGGACTCCTGGAACCCTAGGGAGGCTGCTAGTCACCACTTCTTCATTCCCACCTTGTTCCCGTCCTCCCTGTCTCTACAGAGCTGGCCACAGTAGTGAGGCGGTTCTCCCAGACGGGCATCCAGGACTTCCTGACCTTGACCCTGAGAGAGCACTCTGGGCTTTTATATGTGGGGGCCCGAGAGGCGCTGTTTGCCTTCAGCGTAGAGGCTCTGGAGCTGCGAGGAGTGGTGAGAGGTGGGGCAGTGGGAGGCACACAGAGGGCAGGGGCTCAGGGGGTGTGGCCTGTGCAGGCTGTCCCTCAGCCCAGAGGTCTCTCTTGGGGTCAGGATTGGCGATTGCTCTCCCCTTCTAGGTTCTGCCAGGTGGGGGTGGTTGGGGGCTTGTGTCAGAATGGGAACCAGGTGTCACCCATGGCACACACTTAGCACAGGCCTGTCTGTGACGTTGCTGATGCGTCCTTTCCGATCCTCAGATCTCCTGGGAGGCCCCGGTTGAGAAGAAGATCGAGTGTACCCAGAAAGGGAAGAGCAACCAGGTGGGTACCCAGGGCACTTCCCCTGCCAGGCCTTTGTGGCATGCTAGCTTTCCCCTCTCCATGCCAGACCCTGGTGATCCCGGATCTCTGACTCTTCAGTTCTCACTAACTTGTATACCTTTCTCTCGGAAGACCGAATGCTTCAACTTCATCCGCTTCCTTCAGCCGTACAATGCCTCCCACCTGTACGTCTGTGGTACCTATGCCTTCCAGCCCAAGTGCACCTACATCGTGAGTGTTGCCCTCTCTTTGGGTGTGCCCCTTACCCACCTGTCCCTCACTTCTGTGACTTCCTCCCGTGGATGCCCCGACCATGATTTTTCATGCCTGTCTTCCATGTCTTCCTGCCCCCTAGGACATGATCACTTTCACCTTGGAGCGGGGAGAATTTGAGGACGGGAAGGGTAAATGTCCCTATGACCCAGCTAAGGGCCACACTGGACTGCTTGTGGGTGAGTGCCTGCCTCTAGTACAGACAGGACAAATCTTCTGGGACTTGGTCAGTCACGTTCCGGACGCTTGTCTCCAGAGTACATCTATACCTTACTTTTCCAGCTTGGTTAACCGCCATCTGTCTCCCATAGATGGTGAACTGTTCTCAGCCACACTCAACAACTTCCTGGGTACAGAACCTGTCATCCTGCGAAACATGGGGCCCCACCACTCCATCAAGACCGAGTACCTGGCGTTTTGGCTGAATGGTGAGACATGGAGTGGGATTGGGGAAGCCAAGAGTGGAAGGGCCTTCCAAGGCCCTGGCACCCTGCCACTGACCCTCTTTGCTTTGCCCCAGAACCCCACTTTGTAGGCTCTGCCTACGTCCCTGAGAGTGTGGGGAGCTTCACGGGGGACGATGACAAGGTCTACTTCTTCTTCAGTGAGCGGGCAGTGGAGTATGACTGCTATGCCGAGCAGGTGGTGGCCCGTGTGGCTCGTGTCTGTAAGGTACCGAGTTCCGCAGTGGTGGGCAGTGGGAGCCCCTGAAGGCCTGGCAGGGGCTGACCAGCCATGTCTCCTTGCCATCTGCCAGGGAGACATGGGGGGCGCACGGACCCTGCAGAAGAAGTGGACAACGTTCCTAAAAGCACAGTTGGTGTGCTCAGCCCCTGAGTGGAAGGTCTACTTCAACCAGCTTCGGGCAGTGCACACCCTGCTGGGTACCTCTTGGCACAACACCACCTTCTTCGGGGTCTTTCAAGCGCGATGGTAAGTCGCTCTGGGGTAGCTGCGGGTAGGGAGGAGCAGGTGGTCAGGTCGGGGATAGTGTGTGGGTGTGAGGGCCTGCACAGGCCTCTGGAGGAAGTCCAGCGGGTCAGTGCCTGGCAGCCAAGATCGCTCTGGCCTGCTCTTTTTAAAGCTCCGTGGGGGGAGGGGGAGCAGAAACTGCCTCAGGTGATACCTCAGAGCCACATTATGGCCATGACTGCTCCATGCCGAGCCCTGCCTTCGTAGTGCTTTCTCTGGAGCTCTGGGGTATGGTGCGGGCAAGTCGGCACCAGACCTTCCTTTGCTGTAACAGGGGTGATATGGACCTGTCTGCAATCTGTGAGTACCAGTTGGAACAGATCCAGCAGGTGTTCGAAGGTCCCTACAAAGAGTACAGTGAGCAAGCCCAGAAGTGGGCCCGCTATACTGACCCAGTCCCCAGTCCTCGCCCTGGTTCGGTGAGTTTTGGGCATGGGGACGTACTCCCAATGTCAGCTCCAGGACCCACTCATTCCCCCTGCTGACAGCTCTCCTTCCCATATCCCTCCCTCACACAGTGTATCAACAATTGGCATCGCCACAATGGCTACACCAGTTCTCTGGAGTTGCCTGACAACATCCTCAACTTCATCAAGAAGCACCCACTGATGGAGGAGCAGGTGAGGCCTCGGTGGGGCCGCCCCTTGCTTGTGAAGAAGAACACTAACTTCACGCACGTGGTGGCCGACAGGGTCACAGGACTTGATGGCGCCACCTATACAATGCTCTTCATTGGTACAGGTAGGCACTTCAAGGGTGCCCGAGGCTGGGAACCTGGGGATGTCCCGAGGCCTGAAGACCTCATCATTTACATACCCTACTCTGTCACCTCTCCAGGAGATGGCTGGCTGCTGAAGGCTGTGAGCCTGGGGCCCTGGGTCCACATGGTAGAGGAACTGCAGGTGTTTGACCAGGAGCCAGTGGAAAGTCTGGTGCTGTCTCGGAGCAGGGTAAATCGGATGGGACACACACACACACACACACACACACACACACACACACACACACACACACACCCCCCACACTGCTCTCTCCGGCACCATCTGTCACACACTCAGTCTTTTTGGCTTCCTTCGTTGGGCTCACGAGATTGGCCAGCTCAGAACTCCTCACTTAGCTCTCGGGAGTTCCGGGAAGTGAGAGCACTAACGCATCGGAACCTGCCCTCCAAGGGTTCCTATGGAGAGCCAGTCCCGTGGGGTCCCCATTCCCAGAATCCAGCCTTGGCAAATGTCCTCCTGTTTTCTTCAGGCACTTCCGCGTGGGGCCGGGGCTTGGCCGGGGCTTTGCCTACAATGTCTTCTCAGTCATGCCCTGGTTGACCAGACCTCCCAGGTTCCACGATGCTTTTAGACCCAGGCAACAGGGACATCGGGTTTTCTTCCAGTCCCTGGTGGATCTCTGAGCCAGGCCCTCAAATTCCCGGATCATTTCCTTGAAACGTTGCTTTTTTTTTTTTTTTTTTTATTTTAAACCATCGTACAAAACTGGCATATTCGCAGCACCCTCTGGACTTTGATTTGTTTGCCTTTTACCAACTAGTGTGACTCCAAGTTGCTCCCCCCGATCACAGAATAATGAAATGGCAGCAAGGAGAATGTGGGGCTGAGCAAACATACAGATTGGCAGTCGCCATTCAAACAGGAACACTGCTTAGATGGGCACCATTGTGAGTGTGCTGGCTCTTAGGGCCAGAGGGAGGCGAGTTTCCTGAACTGTGTGTGAGCAAGTGCGCCGATTCTTCAGCCTCACAGGTGCGCTGCCGTCCTTGGCTAATGAGGTCATGTCTATAAAGTGATTAGGATTGTGCTGGCTAAGCCCTCATCAAGTTAGTTCCTCTGGCCTGGATTTTCCTTCTGCCTTCTTCCTCCTTTGGTACCCAGTGTGCTCACGCTCTCTGCACAGACCCTAGCTGTCTCTGGGCCTGGCCCTCCCAAAGGCTCACCCTTTGCCTGATCTTTCTGCAGAAGGTGCTTTTTGCTGGCTCCCGCTCCCAGCTGGTTCAATTACCCCTGACTGACTGCACAAAGTACCGCTTCTGTGCAGACTGTGTCCTTGCCCGGGACCCCTACTGTGCCTGGAATGTCAACACCAGCCGCTGTGTGGCCACCACCAGTGCTCACTCAGGGTGAGTCCGGGAATCTGGGAGGGCCAGGGCTGGCCCAGGGCCGGGAGGGGAGGCAAGAGTGGTTGGAGTAGGGTGTTGATGTCTTCTCACTCCCCTATCAGATCCCTTCTGGTGCAACATGTGATGAACTTGGACACCTCAAAGATGTGTAACCAGTATGGCATTAAGAAAGGTGAGCTGATTTTCCTTTGTTCTTTCATTTTAGGGATGCCCCCGCTCCCCCTCCCACCCTCTCCCACCCCACCCCCCACCCGATCACAGCCAGAGTTGGTGCATCTCCTCCAGCCTGCTGGCTTCGTGTTTCCTATGTTAATACTCCGTTCCCTCCCATTTTTGCCTCTGCAGTCAGACCTACTCCCAAGAACATCACAGTAGTCACAGGCACAGACCTGGTTCTGCCCTGCCACCTCTCATCCAATTTGGCCCACGCTCGCTGGACCTTCAGAGGCCGGGACCTGACTGCAGAGCAACCTGGCTCCTTCCTCTATGACAGAGGACTCCAGGCACTGGTAGTGATGGCTGCCCAGCCCCGCCACACCGGGCCCTACCACTGCTATTCGGAGGAGCAGGGGACAAGACTGGCTGCAGAAAGCTACCTTGTCTCTGTCGTGGCTGGCCCGTCAGTGACCCTGGAGGCCCGGGCTCCCTTGGAAAACCTGGGGCTTGTGTGGCTAGCTGTGGTGGCGCTGGGGGCTGTGTGCCTGGTGTTGCTGCTGCTGGTTCTGTCCCTTCGTCGGCGACTTCGAGAAGAGCTCGAAAAAGGTGCCAAGGCAGCCGAGAGGACATTGGTGTACCCCCTAGAAATGCCCAAGGAACCAACCAGCCCCCCGTTTCGTCCCGGCCCCGAAACAGATGAGAAACTTTGGGATCCCGTCGGCTACTACTATTCAGATGGCTCTCTCAAGATCGTGCCTGGTCATGCCCGGTGCCAGCCTGGGGGTGGGCCCCCTTCTCCACCTCCTGGCATACCTGGCCAGCCCCTGCCTTCTCCGACTCGGCTTCACCTCGGGGGTGGTCGGAACTCAAACGCCAATGGTTACGTGCGCTTACAGCTGGGAGGGGAGGACCGAGGAGGACTTGGGCACCCACTGCCGGAGCTCGCCGATGAACTGCGACGTAAGCTACAGCAGCGCCAGCCACTGCCTGACTCCAACCCAGAGGAGTCCTCAGTATGAGAGGAACCCCCCCACCCACCTCATTGGCGGGGGGTTTCGTGGGAGGTACACTCTTAACCTTTTGCACAGGCACCAGCTACCTCAGGGACATGGCGGGAGCACTTGCTTGGCCTGGGACAGACATTGCCCAGCATTTGCCCAGCCATGAGGACCTGCTCAGCGTGGGCACTGCCACTTGGTGTGGCTCACCAGGGCACCAGCCTCACAGGCGGCTCGCCCTCCTCTGTGAATTTCAGACATGTGGGACCCCCAGCAGCCAAAACTTTGCAAGGCAGAAGTTTCAAGATGTGGGTGTTTGTGCATATATGTGTTGGTGTGTGTGTGTGTGTGTGTGTGTGTGTGTGTGTGTGTGTGTGTGTGTGTGTGTGTGTGTGAAGGGTGCGCGCATGCGTGCGTGTGCATGTGTGTGTAGGTGTGTCTCTGTCAAGTCTTCCCTTGGCCTGGGGTCCTCCTGGTGAGTCTTTGGAGCTATGAAGGGGAAGGGGGTCATACCACTTTGCCTCTCCTACCCCCACCTGTCCTGAGGTTGGGACAGTGATGTACATATGGGGATGGGATGGACAGGGTGTTGTACCCCTTTGGGGGGAGTGCAGGACTCAGGGGTGGGCCTTGTCCTGCTCCTAGGGCTGTGAATGTTTTCAGGGCGGGTGGGGGAGGGAGATGGAGCCTCCTGTTTCAGGGGGAAGGGTGGGCAGGGCCTCCCACTTGGCCTCTGGGTTCGGTGGTATTTTATACTTGTGCTCTTCCGAAAGGGCTGGGAAAGGTTGTTGGGGGGGGAGGGGAGGGAGAAGGTGGGCATGCTGTGGATACTGGCATATCCTCTCCCAGCTCTAGGAAAAGGGCTCCTAACAGTGTAACTTATTGTGTCCCCGCATATTTATTTGTTGTAAATATTTGAGTATTTTTATATTGACAAATAAAATGGAGAAAATGAAACTTAACTCTGGTGTGTGTGCAGATGTTTTGACTAAAACCTGTCTGTTGAACCAAGAGGGAACCATTCTTTGGGCTGGGCCCATCGCGGTCTTAATGCCTGTCTGTGCCCCCTCTCTGGAGGGGCCAGCTGAGACTCAAGTGTTTTCCCACAGTGGTGCCTATGGGACTGGGAACCAGACCAGGGCTACATCCTCCTGGGAGCCAGACTTGGCCTGGCGCCACAGGGAAAAGTCAGCATTGGGGAAAGAGGAGGAGAAGGGGTTTGTCTTCCCAGAACTCCAGGGAGGGCGAGCAGGGGATGAAGGGTCCGAAGGAGAGGATCTCCTAGAAACTTCTCAAGGTTGTATGGACAGTGTTTTTTATAAATAGGGAGCTCAGGACAGGCTCAGTGGAAGAAGGGACTTCTTGTAGCTTTCTGTCCCATCAATGCAGGGAAAGATAGTCCCCTATTGCCACCCAGTGAGTTCCAAGCCCTGGTTCTAGTGAAGGAGTAGTATAGGCCCAGATGTTCCTGGAAAAAACAACAGGCCCAGCCTGGATTCATTTTTGAGTGCCCTTGATGGGAGTTGCCCGGCAGTCGAGTTTCAAAAGGGAAAATAGGAAGAAAAAAAAAGGACGTTTTAAGATGTTTTGTGCTGAATTTGATGCTATTGTTGGCTGCAATTTGGATACGACTGGTTTGGATAAATCTAACCCGTGCATAGGGATAGAGACCTCGGCTCCCCCCCCCATACACACACACACACACTCGGTTGCAGTTTGAGCAGGCTGCTGTCCTGGTTTCCCTCAGTGTGGGTCAGAAGGCTGGATCATGCTTGAGTGTGTTCCCTTTAGCTCAGATGTCAGCCCAGCGGATGTTGGCAACCAGTGTCCATTGAGGGGGCGGAAGGGTTAAGCACAAAGGTGGGCCTGGTCCTCGCCCTCAGGCCACCTGCTTCCCACTGGATTGTTAAGGAACGAGGGTCGGGATGTTAGTGGATTTCTGGCGGTCACTGCGCTGCCCATGGACAGCCAGCAGCTCGGGTGATGCCCGGAAGATGGGATGAGGGAATGTGGGCGGCGTCCAGGGATGAGGGACTGTGGGCGGCGTCCAGAGTCCTTGTGCCCTGGGAACCCGCGAGGCTTCTTCGGTTCTGGCGAAAGCCACATAAACACTGCCAGGCGGGCCAAGCTGCTTGATCCCCACACCCTACAAGGCGCGGCTGCACGAACCGTCCCGCCTCCTCCGGGGCGCGCAGCAGAACCCCAGGCCTCTGCTCCTCCCGGTGCTTAGCTAGCCTCGGGCGCCCTCCCGTGGTGACAGAGCAGCAAGGCTCAAGCCTAGCCAGCCCCGCCTCGCTACTGTCATTGGTTGCTAAGCTAAGATCTAAACGTCGGATTGGTCGGCTCGGGTGAGAGGGCGGGACTCGGAGGTCAGCTACGGACGCCGAGTGGTCAGCCTGGGACGGAGGGGTGGGCACTTCGTAGGAACGCCCCGCGGCAGACCCGGCAGCCGAGATGGCGGCGCCGCAACCGTGCTCGGACAGCTCCTGCTGCTCACACCCCGGTGCGGTGCCCGGGGTACAGCAGACGCTGGAGGAGATGGACTTCGAGAGGGGTGAGGAGGGTGAGGCGGCCGCGTGCCTGGCGGCGGGCAATTCCCAGCCCCAGCCCCGGGGACGTGAACCAAAGGAGGCTGCGAACCGAGTTTGGAGCTTCGGGGCCTGGTGCAGGAAGGCTGGCCGCAAAGCGTGGCGGGAAGCCCTTCGGCCACATCGTCTCCAGTGCGGACGGGTAAACTGAGGCATTGGTTTCCGAACTGGGTTCCGGAGACCAACCCAGCTGGGAGACAGTCTGCTCAGGTGACAGAGGAGCTAGGGACAGAATCTGCAGCTGGTTGATTGTATCCGCCTGGGAGGTCAGGGGAGCTGACCCTTGCTGATCTCGAGTGTGAGTGTCCGTGTTTTAGCTATGACAGTAATCTCGAAACAGGCGCAGGGATGTATCTGTTTTGTCCCAGATGATACAGAGGTCTTGCTGCCAGCAACGGTCCCTGTTCTCCGTGCCTGGAACCGCTATGTTATGGACTATATTATCCCCAGGCACAGGTTAGCTTGTGCACCTATAGCAAGGTAGT